AAAAAAAAAAAGAAAAGAAGTAAACTTTTTAAATAACTTGTCAGGGATAGGAACAGTTTCTCTTGTCTATTAGCAAGGTAGATTGCTCTTACTCATAGATGGCCATAAGGCAGTTATTTGGAAAAGTCTCCTGTGAGGAAGAACTTTAGAATATTTAGGAATTGCATTTTGCTTTGTACAATCAGTTATTTCAATGAACTATTATACTTTTTGAAAAATATTCAATGAAATGGATTACTTACAGTGAAATACAAGATTTATAAGGCATGATCTAGAAATTCTCAGACATTTTTCAAGAGACTATATATTCTTCAAATGTTATTTTGGAAAAATTAACTTGTAATATATGGGAAGGATTTTAAATGTTTCAATACGATAGCTTTACTTTCCTTTGATCAATTTTCTCTTATTCTCTTTTTTGTACATTTTGTGAGAGATGTGAAAAAAGCCCCCAGATTTTATAATATATACTAAACTCACATCACAAGTAATTTCTTCAAATTATATTTCCTGAGTTCCTTCAGGGAGTAGTCTGTATGTAATATTAAATAAACAGAGAAAGATGGTTAGGTGAATTTATAAATTTTGGTGTAGGAAAACTTGTGTACTGTAAGCTCACTTTTCTCTAGAACTCTTTACTTGGTGAGATTATTTTTGTTGTTTGAGACACAGTCTCAATAGGTAGTTCAGGCTGGCCTTGAAATCACTCTATGGCCCAGGGTGGTCTCAAATTCATGACAATTCCCCTGCTTCAGCCTCCCAAGTGCAGGAGTCAGACACCACACTGAGATGAAACCAAATTTAGACTCATGTCCTGTGTGCCTTAAAGTCTGCCACAGATAAAAAGTTATATGTAAATCACAGTGGCTTTCTATAATTGTCTATCCTGCTCCCAGCATCATGGTATGATGAATAGCATTCTGATATATGTGTCTACAGATAAGCAACAACACTTAGGTCCAGGATACCATGTGTAACTCTCAGGTAGCAAAACCAATTTAAGTAGAGAATTTAGCAAGAAAAAAAGAGAACTTCATAATTCTGATTTCAGAATATACTATCTGGCCGCTAGAGCTGAGAAAAAAAAAATGGATGAAAATAATAAAGGAGGTCTATTACCATAGCAAAATATACACCTGTTTTAACTTTGTATACATGAAGACAGACTATAAATTCTTATTTAAAAAAGAACCCAAGCTGAGTGCAGTGGCACATGCCCATAACCCCAGTGCTTGGGAAGCTGAGACAGGAAGACTGTCCCAAATTTGAAGCCAGCCTGAGTTACACAGTGAGTTCAAAGTGAGCCTGAACTACATAGTAAGATCTTGTCTCAAAACACCAAAACCAAAATTAAATTGAAAACCAAACAAAATCACAAAGACCCAAATAAATGAAATAGTATCTATTATAAAGGTATCATATCTGGTATCACAAGCTCACGATAAGGTTGCTTTCTATACTGCATCATGTAGCAATATTATTCCCTCTTTAGTCCCAGGGTAGAATTATAGTCTAGCAAAAATACATGTTATTTAATGCAAAAATTAGCATTAAGGCAAAGAGGCATGAAAAATTATCTATAACAGATCTTATAAAACAGAAAGTACAGTTAAATTTTTTCAAGAAAAAACTGAATATACATTTCACCTTTAAATGGCACTCAAACACTTGGAGGGAATAATATTTACTAACCTCATTTTCATTATGATTTTTCCTCTTATTAACATCATCAACTTGCCCCTGCTACCTCCTCCCTGCGTGGTCGTTAGTCTCCTATTCCTTAGTCAATGACAACACGTTAAATGATAGAACTGAATTTTCTGGTGATTCTTCAGAACAAACAGAACCTACCAATGTACTTCCTAAGCAACTGCCACCTCTTCAGGTGGAAATGGACCAAGTATTTGGAAAAGAAGCACTTCACTCTGAGGAGGACAAGGAAGAAACTAAAGGAGACAGACAGCACAAGAAAGAGCCCTCTGGACACAGAAATCAGGGCAAACCTCACAGTGAGGAGAGCAGAAGAGAGAGTAAGCAAAGACCTGGCAAGAGGGGGAGGCCAGCATTTCAACAGCTACGCTGTGGAAGGGGGCAGGAGGAGGAGGAGGAGGAAGAAGACGAGGAAGAAGACAAGGAAGAAGGGGAAGAGAATCAGGCTGTAAGAGGAGATGTGTTCCCGCCCTGCCAGCTCCCCATCCCTGCTCCCCCCAGTGGCAGGCCACGCCTGCCCAGCGGCTGCTCCTTGTCCTACAGGACCATCAGCTGTGTCCATGCTGCCCTCACCCACATTCCACCACTGATGGCCCCAGAGATAACCAATCTGGAGCTTGCAGGTAAGAAATGTTGACTTTTGTTTTTATTATGTGCTTTTGACATAAATGTGACTCTTGCTGTGCTTCAATTTCAAAATAGAGACTAATTTCATCATCTTCACACACGAACTCTAGAAGAGAGAACATTCAGATGGCTCAGGTGTAAAACAACATCCAAACCAAGTGATTTCCGATTCCCTTTTCAAAAAGTCAGCTTCAATGGACTATAATTTGTAGAGTGGAACTGATTTTGGGTGTATAATTCTGAGTTTTGACAAATATATGCAGCTGTATATAGACTACCATGATGAAGACATGGCACATTTCTGTCATTCCCCAAAGTTCCTCATGTCTCTACCTTCTCTAGTCCCTAGCCATGACAAAAATGTTTTCTATCTTTACAGTTTTACCTTTTTAAGAATGTCCCATAAATGGAATCACAAAATATGGAGCTTGTCTGGCTGGTTGTCTAATGTTTTCGAAAGTCACATGTTTTGTTTTGGATATGTCAGTTCATTTTTATAACTTAGAAGTACCCTGTTGTATGAAAGACGTTACCAGCAGGTAGACATCTAGGCTGTTTCCTGTGTGAGACAAATGTGTACAAAGTTGCTATATATATTTGCATACACGTGTCTGTGTGGACCTATGACCTCATTTCTCCAGAACCACCAAATGAGATGGGAAAAAATGTGGAGACTGCCCAATGATTCTCCAAGGTGGCTCCACATTGCCCTTGGCATGCTGGGGAGTTCCCACAGCTCCTGCCACAACCTGCCAGCACTTTATAGCTGTTTTCTCCTCATTTCAGCTACTTCAGCCGGAACATAGTTTCTAGACCTTTTGCCCATGTCTCTGTAAAGGCTACCAGGGAGGGTTCTGAGTGGAAGACAGCAGGACTGTCTGGCTAGTGTGGTAGAGCAGGGTGAGCCCAAGGATGGTAGGGTGAGAACATCAGAACAGGCTCTAGATAATCCTTAAGGGATGCCAATGTGCAGTTGGATGCTGCTGGCTTACTAGAAGCTTCATGGCCTTCTTAACAGAGACTTTTATCTCATTTTTATATAACTTAATGAATTCCTCTCATGCCCAGAAAGTCATTGTACCTGCATGGTAGCCTGTGTCAAGTACGCTCTAATAAAACCTAATGTGTCTGGGAAGATAAACAACCTATGTTGGACTACACTGTCTTCATTTTACAAGGTTACTACATTTTTCCCCCATGGTATTGGGCATCAAACCCAGGGGACTCAGATAGGACTCAAACTCACAATCCTGCCTCAGCCTCTTTCAGTGCAGGGATTATAAGATGAATCACCATACCTAGGGTGTGTATATGTTGGGGATGTGATAGTAGTTCTTAAAACCCACAGTCTTCACACTGATCTACATCCCTAGTCCTTTTAAGACAGGCTGTCACTAAGCTGCTAAGTTGTTCAGGCTTGTAGTTTTCCAGCCCCAGCCCACCAGAGTGTTAGGATTTAAATACCCAGTACTGTATGGTTTTTACAGTATGTATTATTTCTGGAAAGGTCATTTTCTGTGTCTAAAATCATTGACTACTGTACTTAACTAAAGTATAAAAAAAAATTCTTAAAACTGAAGCAAAAAGAAATTTGTAAATTTGTGATATCTCTCTGTGGGCAGAAAGATATAATGTTAGATCTGGAGGGTGGGGTCTGAGACATGATTTTTCTAAGATTTTTACACAGAGGGAAGCAAGCTCAGAGGAAGTGAGTGACTTTTTTTGTGGGGGAGGGTGCCGCTCAGGATGCCTTCCGGGCAGGTCTGGTTTGGCTTGAGGATGAGGGGATTGAACCACAGCATCGTGAGCCTGACTGCTTTGTTTCAGCAGGCACTTAAACACCTGATCTAATGGGCAGGTTCCCGGAAGTGAGTGACGTGCTTCTGATTTCTTGGATAATCAACATCATACTTCTAGCCCAGGAAACAGCAATAGAAAAACATGAAAAACAAAATCAGTTTCTGTATATTGTCACAGAAACACTTCTGTTGTTGTCGATTATTCACAATGTTACTAGTATTGTGCAGTAGACTGCATTCTGGATTAAGTAGCTTCATTTGAAACGTGAGCTATGGGCCATGATAAATCCTTAGAAAATTTTGATTATGGTGAAATCTCTAGCCCCAAGATTATTTTTCCAAACATGCATTTGTTTATATATTTTTTTCTCCTTCACACCAAGTTCTCTCTTGATATGCATTCACAAACCTATACACATATTATACAAGTATGTACATGCGCATATGACTAATCTAACTGCTGCATATCCTAGGGAATTCTATCACCTCCATCCCGGATGAAGCATTTAATGGATTACCGAATCTGGAAAGGCTTGATCTGAGCAAAAATAATATTACTTCTTCAGCCATAGGTCCAAAAGCCTTCAAGGTAACCACATGCTCCAATATGTATATAACAATCCATGTGAATAGCTTCACTGACTTGCACTAGCAGCAGTTTTCTTATGCATTAAGGAAGTTCCTTCTCTGATATCCCTACAATGCATTCAAGTACTCCCTCCCTCTGTTCCTCTCTCCCTCTCCCTCTCCTGGGATTATAGCTGTGTGCCGCCATGTCTGGCATGGTGAAAGTAATTTCTTGTAATTTTTTTGTTTCAAATTATTCTTTTTTTTTTAATTTTTTTTTATTTTTTATTTATGAGAGAGAGAGAGAGAGAGAGAGAGAGAGAGAGAGAGAGAGAGGTGTGTGTGTGGCCAGCTCAGCCCACCAGGGGGCGGGGCTGGCTGGCATGTGGTGCTGGGGGATTGAACCTTGGTCCCTGATGCCTTGCCAAGCTTGTTCTAAGTAGGTGCTTTAGACCACCGAGCCATCTCTCCAGCCCCTCAAATTATTCTTAAAAGTAATTTGTTTTATATATTTTTAGTCTCACCTTACATGTGTCAGCATAAATGCATCAGTGATATGACTTGTGCTTTCAGTTTATGGGGTACATACTTTTCTTCCCAAGTAGCAGAAAACATTGATATCTGATGCCTTAGCATATACAGCATTGTCTAGGAATAAAGTAGGGCTTATAGGAAACCTCCATGAGCATTTTCAGGCCATCAGGATACTGCTTGCATATTTTTGGATAATGGGCAAAATCTGGTGGAAGTGGGTTCTGGAAAAACAGAGGGTGCAGATGAAAGTTACCATTTGGTGAGATGGGGAAGAGGAAGGAAAAAAGAAAGGATAAGAAATAATGTAAAGTAAACCTATAAAGGAAATAGATCTACCTAAAATTTTTTTAGAAAAAGGAAAAGAGAGGATCAAGAAATTTTAGGGCAGCAAAAAGAGAAGACAGGGAAGGTCAGAGTGTGTGGGTATAAAGGAAAACTCATAAATGTGTATCTTAAGAGCTGTAAGTAAAACACTACGTAGCTCTAGCTCAAACTTTGTTCCTTTGGATGGCCCCATAGGGTCTATCATCTACCAACAGCTCTCACACATCACTGGTCTCTGGCATTCTCTGATCCCATTTCTCTTCTGAAGTCTGAGCAGACAGAAAACAGGCCTCCCAGTACCTGATTCAAACTGCTACTCACTGAGCAACAGCTCGCAGTAGGAGCCATATATCATGTATCTGATCAAGAGAAAAATATTGCAGCAGACTACCACCTTTTTTTGGTTGGGAATTTTCTTGTCCGTTATAGATCTGAAACTAGAATATCATCACTGGAACAGCGGATCATTTCGCATAGCTTCACTAAAGCCTGCTTATCTTCAGCTCTCCATTTTTATTGTTGCAGGCCAGGTTTAGTCAATAAACATGAAATTATAAGTATGGAAATGCATTTTTCCAGGGGGTCAGTTGTTTGCACATAGGAATAGTTTGTGATATGTGCAACACTTGGTTTTGAAAATTTCACACAGAAAATAGTGTTATATTATGATCTTTTTCCTCCCATCAGTGTTAGATATAAAATGGAGCTTTATAAATATGAATTAAAAATCAGTCTTAGCTCTAAGCATCCATTAGTCAGACTAATACATAATTCATGCAATTTCTATCTATTGCTTTAAAGACCTATCAAAATATGACTGATACATTAGCTATAGTAGCTTTCCTTTTTACTTACTTTCTTTTTTTAGTTTTTGTCCTATGCTTTAGCTTTCTAAAAAGGCAACATAAATAAGGGTGAGTGGAATAAAAAGTCATCAAATGTAGTTTTCTACAAATGCATAAAAATAAGAAGTTATTACTACAGTAATATTTACTAGGCAGGGAGAGTACTGTAATGTGAACAAAAGACAAGTACTTTTTGTGAGATTGTTTTGTCCTTCAAAAATACAAATTGTGTGAATATGTGATTATATAGGTGACCAGATAAAAATGGTAATTTTGATAATTGCTTTTTAAGCTTCTGAAGAAGTTAATGCGTCTGAATATGGATGAAAATAATTTAGTACACATTCCTTCAGAATTACCATCTACCTTAGAAGAACTCAACATCAATGAAAATAATCTTCAAGCTATTGATGAAGAAAGTTTTTCAGGTATTTAACATCTTTTTTTGGACATGTTTTCTGTTGTCCTGAGTCTTCTGTTGTCACTTGGAAATCTGATTTACAGCATCAGTAAATGTGTAACTAAAAATGTTTTAATTCATTATCATTTAAATAGATAAAAACTTACTGAATGGTAAAACTTACAGGTATACTTCATATTGTTTACTGTCTTTAAAAAAGAACACTAACCTTAAATAAATCTTTTGATGATTTTTGGTTCTCATCATGTACATGCAATACAGTAACTCTCCTACAAATCCATATCTGGCGAGTTGCACTAAATACTGCCCACACTGCCATAAATGTTGGTGTTTTGTACTGGCATTTTTATTGGTTCTTCGTGGACTGGTGATTGGGCTTCCTTCATCTCCCCAGCCACAGTTTCTGCTACGTCTATGAAAGCATGCTATTCTAATTTGCCATGTGTTCGAACCTAAAGCTAAGTGTGTGAGAATTGTTTGTACAGCAGGAATAGGCAGGTGTGTGTGAGGCTGAGCTGCTGGCACTAGTGAAGGCAACGATCCGCCTGGTAGCAGCCTGCCTGTGGCACTCTGTCCCTGAGGCTGAGGGCCGGTCCTATGAGCCTGCTACTCCCACATTGCAAGGTGTGTAGAATGCAGCTGTGGCCATGGTCTGGCTCTCTGAAGGAAGACTTTACCAGGAAGCGTTTCTGGACCACGTGGAATAGCTGACATGCACATAACGTAACCTTACAAAAGAGGCTGGATCAGATTTCACTCTTCACAGCATCTAGCTGACACCTTTAATTAAATGGTATGCTTCCTTAAAATACAGATTCCCTACATTTTTCTTTTGTCTAATTATCCAGCAGAGCTCTTCAGACATAATGCTTCACATTCTCTGTTAACTTTATTTGAAACACATTTTTATATAACTGTTGATAAACCTAGCATTTCCAACTGTTTCCCTTAGCACTAAGAAACTTCATAGGAACAAAACACTTCTGCCGATGAGAACAGTCATTATAAAAACTGCCAAATCTGAGTATTACATAGTTCAGGAAATACTCAATTTCCAGATGCATTTCAAGGATACACATGAAAAACATTAATAAACCCAAATTTTAATGTGCTTTGTCATATGTAGAAAATTTCATTTCTGGAAAATTTCATTTCTGTTCCATTAAACAGAGAAGGGAGGGAATACAGAATTTAGAACAATACACTAAAAGGCTAATATGAACTATATGTGAGTTTACAATTGTGCTATCAGAATGATAACTTATAAAAATTAACTTCTATATAGAAAGTAGTCTCACATTTCCCTGGAATGGTTCATACATAAATGATTCTATATTCCCCGAGTACTGATGTGTAGTACAAGGTGAACTGGCTGCCTGTCCTTCTAACTGCCAAACTCCAAGCATACAGGAGGCCTCACACTCATGCAGGTGGCCAGAAAGGAGGCTCTCTGCTGTCCTCTTGCCCTGAAAACTTCCCTGCACTTCCTGGGTAGGATGGGTTCTTAGTCTTTCTGCTGTACTGCTTTTGTCACTGCTGGTTATTCTCTTGGCTTGTGCAGCTGCTGAGCCTCCTTGACTGCCTTGAGTCCTGCAGCTGTGCATGGTGCATACGGCTGGCTGGCCATGGGCAGGTGAGCTCAAGCATAGCCCTTCACTCACCTGTTTTCACCTATAAGTTCCTCTTAACGCTATCTAAATCTTCCTACCCTTAAGAGTGTATTACTTTGATACCATTCAAATCTACACTGCTTTCTTTTTTAATCATTCAGCATTTATTATGTCTACTTTTCACGTAACTGTCTTGCTAATGCCTAAGTGTAGGACTAAGCTGCACAGGGCATTCTATGCAATGCTTGTGACAAACCAGAAAATAACCCTACTTGGGAATCTTGGCCACACTCTGAACCTCAGTCGCAGATGCCACTGTGTATGTCATTGTTGACTTATCAGTGGTTTACCTTGAAGCTTCCAACTGACTTGGATGATACCACTCCCGGTTCAGCAAGAGAGGTGTGGACTTCCCTGGTACTTAATCTGAATGATTGGATGTTTTGATCATCTTGTGTTTTTTGTTTTTTTTTTTTAATCAAAAACTCTGGGCCAATAGTGAGTAACTATGCAGGGAACTGACTGTCCTGCTTTGTTACTAACTCCCTTGTACAGAGGTAGGACTTGCCAGGGAGAAAGAGTGTTCCTTTCTATGATCTATCATGCTGCCATTTCATCCCAATCTGTCACTGAAAATACTCTCAATGACTTTTCATAAACTTCTATTCTATATGCATCTCAATTCTAAATCCCAGGTTGGCCAGCATGGCCACTAGAGATATCCCTGACACTTTCCCCTGTCTTCTTCCTCCTCCCTCTTGTTTCTACTAATTATACACACTTGTATTCTATAACACTTCAGTTATTCTCTGCATTGTGTATTTTTGTCTTAATTGGAATGTGCATCTGAAATGGCAAAGAATTTAGGAATAGGACTTATGGGGCAGGGAAGGGACAAAAATAAGGAACCTATACACTTTCAAATAAAGTGAACTTAGGGGCCAGGGAGATGGCTCAGTGTAATAAGCACTTCCCTGGCAAGCGCAAGGGCTTGAGTTCAATCCCCAGTTCCACCCCCAAAACAAAACAAAAATAAATAAATAAAGTGAACTTTTATATGTGCAGGCTATAAAAACTGGGGTTATTTTTCTTCTTTTGTGATACTAGGGATCAAACCTAGGACCTCATGCATGCTGAGCAAGTGCTCTACCAATGAGCTATACCCTAAACCTAAATTGCATAGTTTTCCCAATTATTCTAATATTATTACAATTCTGTTTCTGTAGACTTAAATCAATTGGTCTCCTTAGAATTGGAAGGAAACAATCTCAGTGAAACCAACGTCGATCCTTTAGCTTTCAAACCTTTGAAGAGCCTATCCTACCTGCGCCTGGGAAAAAATAAATTTAGAATTATTCCACAAGGTCTTCCTGCTTCTATTGAGGTACTTATATCTTTCTTCTACATTTAAAATATATTTTATTTTTAAAAATTTTTTTTAAAAATATATTTTAGATAAAATATACTACAACAAAAGAAAGTCTCTTTAAAAACTATGGTAATGGTATATTAAACTAGGTAGTTTTGGCACTGTATACAATTTTTTAAAATAATGTAAGCATTATATACCCTTGATAAAGTGAAAAATGATACTGTTGATCACTCTTAGAGGGAAAGGGAAAGGGAAAGAGGAACTAAGAATCTGAACAGAAACCACAACTTGCAAAAGGTATCCAACATTTAAGACAGTTCAAACTGTCCCAAGATAACTACAAAGTTCAACACAGAATAGGTCACACTTTATTAGCACCCCTATCTCCACTTAGAAGTTCCAAGTAAAACCAGACACTCTTAGCAAACAGCAAATGGCTGACGCAAGAATTATACCAAGAAAGCTATGCCTGTTCCTGCAACTCTGTAGCTTATAATTTTTGACCAGCTTCTACCAAGACTGTCATGTGATAAACTCTAGGCCCAATAGTTCCTCTTTCCCTTTCCCTCTAAGTGTGGTCAACAGTATCATTTTTCACTTTATCAAGGGTATATAATGCTTATATTATTTTTAAAAATTGTATACAGTGCCAAAACTACCTAGATTAATATACCATTACCATAGTTTTTTAAAAGAGACTATTTCCCAGCAGTTCCCTGGAAGTCTTTGACACACTCTGCATTTCCTGTATTAGGGACAGTGAAGTTCACAGAATCTATAAATACTGACAGACCCAGGTGGAACCCAGGTCTCCTTATCTAAGCTCTTTCTATCACACCTCATGATCATCCCACCAGAAGGTCACCTACTATGATCTCATGCTGATCAGAATCATGTAGATTCCTAAAACACACAAATTCCAGAATCTATCCCAGATAATCTAAATCAGACTCTTTGGAGAGCAGAACTACAATTTGGAATTTTTGATAAGATCATTAGACAAATGCTTACCACCAGCTAAACATACATACACCTTGGACAATACAAAAGATCACATGTCCCTCCCTATGTTTAAATTTCCCATCTTGGCTTTTCTTGCCAACCCAGAAAGTGCTGTGCATACAAGTACTATAAATCCTTCTAAACTCACTGCTGCATGCCACTCTCATCTCATTACATATCTGAAGACACATCATTCTTCCTTATAATTGTGAGTAATCCAGGTATGTAAAAGTATGCCAGGACTTATTTAACTAGCCCCTTAATGGCATACATTTAGGTTGGAATTAATACTTTAATAAGCTCATCAGGTATTCCTAACACACAACCACATTTGGGAACCACTGATTTAGCTCATCTATTAATTATATATGGAAGTAAAAGCAAAAAGCAGAAACTGTTTTACCCTTTTCTAACAAATAAGTGACAAAGCGAAAAGTTACCATGGCAGGAATGTAAAGTTACATTGAAAGTACACATTAATACTATTTCTGCATTGTAACCAGAATGAGAAAAACTGTATAATTCATTTTGGCTTAGTAAAAAATTCATTTTAATGCAAACTAAGTTTAACTTGAAGACAAAGAGCTCTTAAATTTCTAATAGTTCTAGTAAACTTCATTGTGATTCTAAATTAAGGCTCTCAATTCATTAACTCTTAATTAAATACAAGTATGTTTGGAATGTGAGCCTAAAAAACTCATGGAACAGTAGGAAGCTGGCCTGGAGCTAAAGGTTCTGCTAGGAAGAGCCTCTTTCAGACATTAGTCTTAGAACCATGGGCAAGCAACATCTCTTTGGGTCTGAGTTACTCAATGGTGCGTGGAGATAATTTCTACTTATTTTCCAGATTTTTAAAGTCCAAATGAGATTCTAGGTTTTGCAAATTGTATACAGTATGCTTGAATCTTGCAACATATTATTGTCTAAGAGCTAAACAAAAACAACTTAATTTCATGAACAGATATAGTTCAACTTATTTTATAGGTTACAAAATCTTACAACTTAAAGTCACGAACTCAGGTAGTACTAATGTGAATAGTCCATTACAACTTTAGTATCTGTAATATTGAATATATTTATTAACAAATACAAAAAGGAAAAAAAAAGGTACTCTTTTCTCTTAATTACAGGAATTACACCTAGGAAACAACCAAATTGAAGAAATAACTGAAATTTGTTTCAATCACACAAGAAAGATCAATGTAATTGTACTACGTTATAATAAAATAGAAGAAAACAGAATTGCTCCTTTAGCTTGGATAAATCAGGAGTAAGTCTATGCTGCTATTTAACTTTCCCACCATCTTTAATGAGCCCTAACCCTACCCTAACTTGGTCACTTCATAGGGTTTCTAAACTGTCCACTACATGGTGCTAGGATCACTACTGCCTAATGGGAACCCTATTTTTGGCAGGTAGTGAGGTAGAAAGGAATGACTTCTGATTATAACCCTCAACTGCTGCTTTTGCTCTGCCTCCTTCACAGAGGAGAAGGAGGCTTACATGGATTATCACCCCTCATACAGTGAGGAAGAAACGTACCACCCTGTTCCTCATCACCATTAGGGAAAAACAAGCTCCAAAAGCCAGGCCTGTACTCTCACTCTACTGCCCTCTTTTGTCCAAACTATTTCTCCATTGCAAGTCTTACAAAATAGATATTAAAAGGCTGGGCCTGACAGTGCAGGCAGAAAGTAGAACCCATTGTCTTAGATGGGAATCAGCAGACTTGCTGTACCCCTCAGTAAAGGCAAAAGGAGTTGGAGGGAAGCCCTGGCAGCATGTCCAACTGATAATCTGGACACATGCTGTGTGTCCCAGAATGACATATCTGGATGGCAGTCTAGGACATCAGTCATTCAGATGTAAGAAGGGAAGAGATGCAAGGTCTTTGGGGCCAATTGGAGGGAAAGTGAGCATCCCTGTGAGTGGTAAAGTCTGCACCAGGCATTTCAGGGGAAGCTCCTGGAACCAACCAAGGATCTCACCACATTCTTGGGATCTTCTGGCCAATAACAACTTCTAGATCTCTTGGTCTCAACTCAAGTCTCAAGTGTGCTAGATCTTCAAATCAAATGTGGAATGAAAATATGGGAGAAAAATAAAACTTGCAGAAAATTCCAAAACAAAAGAAAGGTAAAAAAAAAAAAAAATAAATCCTTGGTAGAACCAAGGACTCACAGATTTCATTTCTGATTCAATATTTTGACCATAGAAGTATCTGGAGAACATCTTTCTGTCACTGTGACTTCGCTGTTACCCCAAGCAGCTGAGTCTTTCCTCCTACACTCTAGTGTGTTCCTCTGATGAAACCCCTGACTGGGAGGCATCCTGGGTGCCTGTAAGAATGTGAACCTGGGAGCCAGCCAAACCTAAGTGAGCACAAGAAGTTCACGTTTAGAATCATCACTATAATGTGGGGTTTACAGCAAAACGGACCAGCATCACAATTGGCCTTGTCAAAATTCAGAGCTGCTAGTTACTACCTGACATTGGTTCTCTAGCATATTCACACTCTTTCTCTACTGCAGAAACCTAGAATCGATTGATCTCTCCTACAACAAGCTCTACCGTGTCCCCTCGTACCTACCCAAGTCTCTGCTGCACCTTGTGCTCGTGGGGAACCAGATTGAACTGATCCCAGGCTATGTGTTTGGCCACATGAAGCCAGGCCTGGAATACCTGTACCTGTCATTTAACAAACTCACTGAGGATGGTGTGGACCAAGTTTCATTCTATGGAGCATATCATTCCCTGAGAGAGTTATTTCTGGATCACAATGCCTTAAAATGTATACCGCCAGGGATACAGGAAATGAAAGCACTACATTTTCTGAGGCTGAACAACAATAAGATTCGGTAAATGTTGGCTTTTTCAAATATCAGTTTAAATTGTGTGACAAATATATATATGATTCAATTACTATGATATGAACTCTGGGATTCAAGGGAAAAGGAAGTGCTAAGGAGCTGAGTGTGGTAAGGCATTTCTGTAATCCTAGCATTCTGGAAAGCTGGGGCAGGAGAATTCAAACCCAACCTGGGCAATTTAGCACAAACCTGTCTCAAGGGAGGAAAGAAATGTCTGGGGATAGCTTGATGCAAAGGCTCAGAGTAAAATCCCCAGCACCAGAAAAACAAACAACCCCATAAACAAATGGGAAAAAAAGTACTAAAGGCTTGCTTAAACAATAGCAATGCTAGTAATTGTTAAAGTAGGGTGATACCGTACATGAAAATTCACTATAGTTTTTTTGTTGTTGTTGTTTAGAAACTTCCATAGTATATTATTATTACACAATACATAGAACCTTAGATGCAGGTTAAATAAGGCTGCAAAGCAATAAACAGACTATAACACTGTTTCTATTATTATAGTTTCAATCTTCAGGGTCCCCCAAAAGCTCATGGTTCCCAGCAAGTGACATTATGTGTAGTGGTGGAAGCTGTAGGAGGCAGGCCCTCGTTAGAGGAAGTACATCATTGGAGATGTGCCCTGAAGGATACATGAGGCTGGGCCGCTTCCTAGCTCATTCTTGCCTTCCTGCCCACCATGAGGCGAACAACTCTAAATTTGCTGCTATGATAAGCTGCTTCACCACAGCCAGTGATGGTGAACATTTTAGAGCTTGCAATGATAACAAACAGCCAGCTGTGGCATTCATGTCATGGGTTCACCACCATTACCACAGGCCCACAGCGATGGAGTCAAAAAACTATGGAGTAAAACCTCTTAAACTCAGCTAAAATAAATCTTTCCTCCCTTAAGTTGACAGAAAGCTAACATATGTACTATGTACAAGACAGAAAGCCTTGATGGGGGAAGGGCTGATGTTGGCCCCCTTTACATATGAAAGCTAACATATGTATTATGTACTATAATCTACTTGCCCACATATGTAATTTTGAAAGAGACAGATCTTTAGAGGACAATCCTAAATATATGGTAAAATTAAAGTTCTATCTAAATTTTTCTGAAGGTAGAACTCAGAATAAATTTATTGAGACCCAACTTTTCTCACTCTTAAGGACCTATTTTTCTGCTTGTCCTGTCTAGACAACATGAATGATGCAAGGTTTTATCCAGGATACTTTGTGAGTGTGTTCTTTACCAACTAGAAGTGAAGGAGACAGTAACCTAATCTCTCTTACCCTTTTTCTATCTATAAAATTCCAAATTAAATTGAATAGCCAGGAGTAGTAGCACATGCTTTAATCCTAGCACTCTAGAAGGCTGGAGCAGGATTCCAAGTTTGAGTCTCTCCTCACATTAAGCAACTAAGTAAGATTCCCCCCTCCCCCCAAAAAAATTTAAGAATGTAAGTCAGTGAGAAGGTCTGGGTTCAATCTCTAGTACTGGGGTGGCAGGACAGAGGAGCAAGAGAGTGAGGGTAAGAGGTAGGGGTGGAAAGAACTTTGTAAGATTCTCTTTCAAAGTTTTTTCACAGGTCATGCTATATACATACCCCATACTGCAAACCATCAGAAGGCATGCAATATTCCAGTTCTAGTGATTCTAAAATTTATCAGTATATTTAGATGATCACAGCCTGGTATATTCATTGCAAAATTTCCCTTCTATCAATCACTGAACCAATGGTTTCACTCACAGATAACTGTAACTTGAATCTATAATGAATTTTTGTTTTGTTATTCTTTTTATACAGCTTAGTTAAAAGTATTCTGTAAAGAAATTTTGTTTTTCAAGTGAGACTATTTTTGTTTTATTCTCGGAAGGATAAACAGTTCTTTCCTTTAAACTGTCACTCAGAATAAGAACTTGATGTTATGGTTTGTGTCTAGATATCACACAAAGCCAGAGACAGAAAGCCTTGATGGGGGAAGGGCTGATGTTGGCCCCATACTGCAAGCCATCAGAAGGCATGCAATATTTGTAACAACTTACTTGTTCAGGAACTCACTCCAAAAGACCTGTATTAATCCCTTCTAAGGGCAATGCCCCCAGTGACAAAGTCTCCTCTCACCTGGGGTCACCTTGTAAGGTTCCACCAAACCTTAACATTGCCACAATAAGGACTAAGCTTCAGCATATTTCCCTCAGGGGATGAACCACATATCCATATCATAGCACAACATGAGTGGTTTTAAAATTACAAATAAGATTACTTAAGGGCTGGGGAGATAGCTCAGTAGAGTAAGCGCTTGCCTGGCAAGTGCAAGGTCCTGAGTTCAATCCCCAGTATCTCTCTCTCT